GGTTTTGTCACCGCGCTTTAGACACCGCGGTTTAATCAGGCGCGCTTTTGTTGTGCACGCATTTGTGGTGGAACCGCCATTAACTTGGTCTTCACTTCCTAATTTTGAAAGGTCAGTACAGTGTAGTGTGGGGACATTGAGGACAGCTGTGTTTAAGTCAGCTCTCAATATAGAAACTCACTGGGTGAATTGAATCCGTTATTTTGTCTCAATCCAACCTCCATCAAAAGGAAAAGAGTACAGTGAATATTATTTTCAGCTCAGCTGCTGGAAGAAAAACAGGATAAAAATTTTGATGTTATATAGCCATTATAAAATCAAATCTTAATAATAGCTATAATACTAATTGCTATTTTTTTTTCTTTTTTCCTAGGACTATACACTAACTATGTATTTCCAGCAATCTTGGAGGGATAAAAGATTGTCCTACTCTGGCATACCTTTGAATCTAACTTTAGATAATAGAGTGGCTGATTATCTCTGGGTACCAGATACATACTTTCTGAATGACAAGAAATCCTTTGTTCATGGAGTTACTGTGAAAAATCGAATGATTCGGCTACATCCAGATGGAACAGTTCTTTATGGTTTGCGGTATGTTACATTTCGTTGTATTTTGAAACTGCTTTTGGAATTGATTTTTTTTATAAGGCCTGGCATTTTCAGGCACACAAACACACACACACAAAATACCCTACCTATTTTCTTTCATCCTGTTCAAGATTTTATCCAGACATGCTATCTTGCCTAATTTATAGGTAGTCCTCAATTTACAACCATGATTGGGACCAGAGTTTGTGTTGAGCAAGTCATTCCATGACTGAACACAATGTTATTACCATTTTTACCACATTTGTTAAGCAAACCACATGAATGTTCAGTGAATCATATGGTTGTTACCAGAACCCCAATTGATTTTGTTTGTCAGAAGATGGCTGGAGGGGTTACAAAGTACAATTATATGACTACAAAACACTGTAGCTATCATAAATGGAAACCGGTTGCCAATTGCCTGAATTGCATTCACATGACCATGGGGTTTATGCAGTAGTGGGATTCAAGTAATATAACAACCAGTTCTCTGCTCTAATGACCGGCTGGGTAGGCATGGCTGGGTGGTTATGTAGACTGGGTGAGCATGGCCAACTCAATATCACTCACATCAAGGGGTGCCTCATCTCACCCAGCCTTTCCTTGTCACGCCTGGCCATGCCTCGCCCTTCCCCTCCCTGCCATTCCTTGTCACACCCAGCTGTTCACCTCACCAGAGCAAGTAGTTTTCAAATAAAAAGAATGCTCACCTTGTGCAAATAAATAACATCTTGACTTCAGTTTTGATGCATCTTGCAAAGTATTACTGCTCATTCTAGTCTCTTTTCCTACTAAGAGGTCCATTTCAAATTGTAATTTGCTACAACCTCTCTTTTCGTTTGCATCATTCTATGGGAAATTATTCTGAAATGTTATCTGTGATGTTTGCAATTTTACAAGTTTGTTTCCTCCAACCTTGTTTTTGCATGCAATTCTTACAAGTTATTTTGACATTCATTCTTTCTTTTAAAACAAAGTAGTGGTTAAGGAATTAAGGAAATAATAGAAGGTGTTGAAGGAACAGGGACCCTGGGGGCAAGTGACCATGCAATATTGGAATTCAACATTATGCAAACACAAGTAGTAGAACAAAGTCAAACTAGAGTCTTGGACTTTAGAGAGCTAATTTCAATAAACTTCGAGAGAGAGCTTGGGAAAAATTCCACAGATGAGAATCTTCAAGGGGAAAACAACTCAAGAAGCTTGGAAAATTTTGAAAAATGAGATTACAAAAGCCCAGTCTAGCACAATACCAATGAAGAAGAAAAAAAAGGGGGGGAACCCCATCATCACATACAATA